ACTCCAAGATCCCTTTCCGCCTCTGTGCTTTCAAGAAGGGAACTCCCCAGCCTGTACGTATGCTGTGGATTCCTTCTCCCAAGGTGCAGCACCCTGCATTTGTCTATGTTGAACCCCATCCTATTCTCGTCTGCTCGCTTTTGTAGTCTGTCTAAATCTAGTTGCAGCCTCTCTCTCCCTTCAAGTGTGTCCACCTTGCCCCACATATTAGTGTCATGTTAAGTCAGGCCTTAAAAAGCTTTAAGAATGGAGATACCATCACCTCTCTAGGTAAACCTGTTCCAGTGCTTCACTACCCTCCTAGAAAGAAAGTTTTCCCTAATATTTAATCTAAACTTCCCTTACTGCAACTTGAGACCATTGCTCCTTCTGATGTCTGCCACCACTGAAAACAAACTAGCTCCATCCTCTTTGGAACCAGCCTTCAGGTAGTTAAAGGCTGCTACTGAATCCTGCTCTCAACTTCCCCCCTCCCCCTTCTCTTTTGCAGACTAAAGATAAGTCTGCTGTCCCAGTTCCCTCATACTCTCCTTGCAAGTCATATGCCCCAGCCTCCTAAGCATTTTCACTGCCCTCTACTGGACTCTCTCCAACTGTCCACATCCTTTCTGTAGCGGGGAACCCAAAACTGGACACAGTACTCCAGATGTGGCCTCACCAATACAGAATAGAGTGGAATAACTGCTTCCTTCAATCTGCTGGCACACACCTACTAATGCAGCCCAGAATGCTGTTAGCCTTTGTGGGAGCAGAGGCACGCTGTTGACTCATATTCAGCTTATTGTCCATTGTAACCCCCAGGTCCTTTTCTGCAAAGCTGCTGCTTAGCCACTTGGTCCCAAGTCTGTAGCGATGCATGGGATTCTTCTGTCCTAAGTGCAGGATGTTGCACTTATCCTTATTGAACCGCATGAGATTTCTTTTGGCCCAATCCTCCAATTTCTCAAAGTCACTGAATCCTAGCCCTATCCTCCAGCACATGTACTACTCCCCACAGCTTGGTGTCATTTGCAAACTTGCTGAGGGTGCAATCCATCCCATCTTCCAGATGATTACTAAAGATATTGAACAAAACTGGCCCTCAGACCACCCCCTGGGTCACTCCACTTGATACGAGCTGCTAACTAGATAGCGATCCACTGATCACTTTGAGCCCAACAATCCAGCCAGCTCTCTATCCACCTTACATTCCATTCACCCAACCCATACTTCCTCAGCTTGCTTGCAAGAAATCTGTGGGACTCTGTATCAAAAGCCCTGCTAAAGTCAAGGTATATCATGTTCACTACTTTCCCTGCATCCAGAGCCGGTCATCTCGTTATAGAAGGCAATCAGGTTGGTCAGGCATGACTTGCCCTTAGTGAATCCATGCTGACTGTTTTTGATCACCTTCTTCTCCTCCCAAGTACTTAGAAATGGATTCCTTAAGGACCTGCTCCATGATTTTTCCAGGGACTGAAGTGAGGCTGACTGGTCTGTAGTTCCCTGGTTCGCCCTCCTTCTCTTTCTTGAAGACTGACACTATTTTTGCACTTTTCCAACGATCCACGACCTCCCACAATAGCCATAAGTTTTCAAAGATAATGGCCAGCAGCTCTGCAATTACATAGGCCAACTCCCCTAAGCAACCTTGGCTGCACTGCATCCAGCCCCATGGACTTGTAAACATCCAGCTTTTCTAAACAGTCCCTGATGGCTGCTCACCTTCTCCCCAAACTGTGCTGCCCGGTCCAGTAGCCTAGGAGCTGACACTGCCTGTGAAGACCGAGGTAAAAAAGGCATTGCGTACTTCAGCCTTTTCATCATCTGTCACTAAGCTGCCTACCCCATTCAGTAAGAGGCCCACACTTTCTGACTTCTCTCTTGTTGCTAACATACTTATAAAAACTAGGGCAGTGCGAAGCTTTGGTCACTGATTTGATTTGGCCCGATTCAGTGGCCGAATCTCCAAATCCAAATTGAATCAGGAGACCCTTTAAACTTTCTGAATAGAATTGGAACCCTTCGAATCAATTCGGAGAGATTCAATGATTTGGACATAGACACAGCTTTGAATGTTTTTTCTATACCACCTCAAGGTACCAGATGGCTTGTAAATGCTGAGATGGTGGGGCAGATGGAGCACCCCATGGGAGCGCAGGGGGAAGAGTCCCCAGTGCACTTGGCGGTGGACCCAGGAGCGGACCAGAAGTACTTCCAGTCCAGTTCCGGGTCTGCTGAGGAGCACGTGGGGGACACACCCACCAGCTGGGGGGGGGCATCCAGGGTCACAGGGCCAGGGAGGAGCGGGGGCGCACCTGCGTGTTCAGTGGCAGATCCAGAAGCAGACCAGAAGTACTTCCGGTCTACTTCTGGGTTTGCCACCGAGTACGCATGGGGCCCCACTGGTTCCTGTGGGACGCTCCATCCACCCCACCATTGCAGCGTTCACAACCTGTGCCTGGTACCTCGACGTACGTAGAAAAAATATTTAAAGCTGTGTCTATGGCTGAATCGCTGATTCTCCGAATCAGCATCGAATCTTCAGATTCGGCCAAATCAAATCAAGACAGCGATCTGAATCAACAAACTGAATGTGTTCCCGATTTGGGCCGAATCCAAATCAAATACGGCCCATTTCACACACCCCTAATAGAAACCCTTTTTGTTACCCTTCATGTCTGTGGGGGGGGCTCGGTGGGGTCCTGCGGGGGGTAGGGCCTGGTGGTCACCTTGCCTGTCCCTCCTGTGTCTGACTTAGGGCCCTGGAGGAGCAGGTGAGGGAGCTCCAGACTGAGGTGAGCAGGCTGAGGGGGATCAGGGATGCAGAGGATGAAATTGATGCCTATCTCTGTTCTCTGCAGGCCCGGTGTCCAACGCAGGAGCGGCAGAAGGTGTCCAGATCCAGAGCCGCTCGGCCTAGAGTGGTGGAAGCTCCCCAGGTACACCTGAGGAACAGGTTTGAGGCCCTGGCAGCTGTGACGGAGAAATACCGAGCAAATGCCTCTGGCGGGGATGATGCCACTCCCCACGCGACATGGAATGGGCAGAGAACGAATACCAGCAGGAAGAAACGCCGGGTCCTCATCATCGGTGACTCCATCCTACGAGGACTGGAGTTCTCATCTGCCGGCCTGACCCCATGACGCAGGAGGTCTGCTTCATGCCTAGGGCTCGGGACATCACTGAGAAGGTCCCGGCCTACATCCGACCTGCAGACCAGTACCCCATGGCTGTCATCCACGTGGGAACAAATGACACGGCCAGGGGCAACCCTAACCACATTATGAAGGACTTCGAGGCTCTGGGAGCCAAGCTTAAGGAGACGGGGGCACAAGTGGTATTCTCCTCTCTTCTTCCGGTGAGTAGGTGGGGACAGTGACACGAGGCCTGCATTGGCAAGGTCAACCGGTGCTTATGGAGTTGATGCTGCCAGGCAGGCCTTGGGTTCCTAGATAATGACCCATGCTTTTGGGCGGGGGACTTGCTGGGGCAGGACAGGCTTCACCTCTCTCCTAAAGGCAAGCGTGTCTTCTATTCCAGGTTGGCTGATCTCGTATGCCGAGCTTTAAACTAGCCTTGCCAGGGGAGGGGGCCGCAAGAAGACGAGGAGACACCACCCAAGCAAGACAGGTGACACATGCAAGGAGTGCCCAGGTAGTCTTCCTAATCGGGGGGTGGCATGCACAGCTATGCAAGGCCTTAAATGCCTATATACCCATGCTCATAGTATGGGGAACAAACAGGAGGAACTCGCCCTCAGAATAGCCAGTTCAAACCCAGACATAGTAGGGCTTACA